CTTCTGACTTTAGCTCAGTAAACTCCTTATTTCAAAATATTTTGAAAAATGAGTCTTCAGAGACTTCAAAATCCCCAAAGTTTTCAGTCGTGAGCCTCAAAATCTCTAAGGTGTTAAAAGTATAAGGATTTTTCCTAGTTTCAAGGCTTTAAATCAAGTGCGTTAGAATCTTGCATTGGTCTCCAAAGCTATGGTCTTTAAAGTCTTCTTAGCTCTTAGCTCAATAAAGTTCTTATTTCAAAATATTTGAAAAAAAAAGTCTTCAGGGACTCCAAAATCCCAAAAGTCTTCAGTTGGGACTTTTCCAAGATCTCTAAGTTTTGTATAAGGATTCTTCCAAGTTCCAAGGTTTTAGAACAAGTCATCCCCTGGAATCTTGCATTAGTCTCCAAAGCTGTGGTATTTAGAGTCTTTATCTACGAGACATTTTGAAACCTTCAGGATCTTCAGAATCCATAATCTGCAATGGCTTTAGAATAATTGATCAAGACGCCAATATCTTTTGCATATTCTGATCTTAACTCAGTCTCCAAAGCTATGGTCTTTAGAGTCTTTATCCCCAAGAAATTTCGAAACCTTCAGGATCTTCAGAATCTTTAGTCTACAATGGCCCTAGAATAATTGATCAAGACGCCGACATCTTTTGTATTTTCCGATCTCAGCTTAGTAAAGTCCTTATTTCAAAATATTTGAAAAAATGAGTCTTCGGAGACTTCAAAATCCCCAGGGTTTTTAGTCATGAGTCATGGGCCTCAAGACTTTTCAAGATCTCTAAGTTGTTCAAAGTATTAGGATTCTTCTAAGTTCCAAGGATTTAGATCAAGTGCCTTAGAATCTTGCATTAGTTTCCAAAGCTGGTCTTGACTTTAAAGTCTTTATCCTCAAGACATTTCGAAACCTTCAGAATCTTTAATCTGCAATGGCTTTAAAATAATACCGTTGTTTTACCCGAAAAAAGGGGTGCGACACTCAAAAAATTTCCGCCTTCGGCGGACCTGCCGTCCCTGTCGTTATATCCAGCTTTTTGTCACAAGAAATATTATGGCCATCCTACATAAAAAGGGCCTCGCAGTTTAGATGTCGCCGACGTCCACGTTTGTTTTGGCTACCCCACTGGGGCCGGGAAGGGTACTCTTGGGGTCTGAAAACCCAACCCTCAGAAATCAATTGAATAACTTGGTTAATTCTTAAAACTTTTGTTTGTTAGAAAATTTCCATTTTTGTAAAGGCTAACTTTGCATATACTATACTGGCTGTGAAATTTTAAAAAATTCAAAATTGCTGTTGTTGAAAGCAGTGGCGTAACTAAGGGCCCGCAGTTGCGGGGGGGCTCTGTGATCTTGGGGGCCCAGCAGGGCCCCAGGCCAGGCGACAAGAAAATACTAAACTGGCGACAAGAATATTACTAAACTAAAATACTTAAACCTAACCTATGAACCTCATAATACATACCAACCATTGAAAAAGTATGTCTAACTCCTGATGTCTTCAACGCCTAATGTCCGACTAATTATTTTTTATATGAGAAAATTTTGAATAAATGAATCTAAAAGAAATCAAGGGCGCCTTTACCTGAAAAAAAAGTCATAACGCAGGTTATTAAAATAGTCATACCGCCCTAAGGCGTTATTTTCTAGCATAACGCCCTAGGGAATTATTTCGTATTTAACTGACTTTTATGTAATTTGTCATTATTCATCAAATAATATAACAGTCGGATATTAGCTAAAATAATGTAGGTACTAGAATATTAGGTCTGTTTCTGCAGAAATCACAAAACCAGTCAGAGTGAAACTAGTGATGCAAAATGCTCGAGCATGTATTTTTGGAGAACGTTCCCCAAGCAAGCATAAACGAGCACGAACAAGCATATACGAGCACGAACGATAATATATTATTCTTTATTCTTTTATTCTTTAACAGATTTTAATGAACTAAATATGGCACCTGCTATGACATCTAGCGACCTCCAATACTACTTTCTATATTTTAGCCAAGGATGGACGTCGTATTAACGTTGGTCTATTACTGGTACGCAGCGGCGACGCTAGGGTGTTACATTAGGGGTGGGCCAGACTGGGCCAGAAAAATTTAGGGGGGCGCACTTGTTTTCACTTTATTGCTTTTTTTTGTGGAATAAAAAATGGGAAGTCGACACTAATATGTTTGGGGGAATCCCAAGAAAACTTGACCTTGTAGGACTGCCTATTGAGCTGAAAGTGTCTACCATTTCAGCCGCAGACCTCAACTTTCGGCGTAAAATGCATTAGCTGAACCTGAATCGCAAGCATCCCATCGAGGCCTGCAGGTGACGTCACCATTATACTTTAGCCTAGTACTCATAACCGCGAAATTCGCTATTTTTTGACATTGCATTGACAATTTGACGTTTTATGCGTGAATCAAACGTCAAATCGTCGAAGCAATGTCAAAAAAGAACGAATTTCGCGGTTATGAGTACTAAGCTTTAAGCTGCTGATAGTGGTAACGTCACTCGCAGGCCCTGCCGACTCGAGAAATGGCGAACGTAGATACGCCTAAAGTTTACTTTACACGCATTCGTTTTTTTGTCAATCCGATGATCTTGTCTATTGGTCCAATATTTTGGCGCCAACCTATTGGACCAATAGAAATACTTCCGGATCATGGAATTGACGGAAAAACGGATGCATGAAAAGTAAGCTTTATGAGGATGAGTAATCCTGAGGCGGGATTGTGTAACAGATAGAAATCCTTGTCCCTTTTGCTATGGCACTTGCTGTTTTCTTCTCTCTTTTCGAAATCAATAGAGAAGGGACGTCAATAGCGAAAATATCTCTGTTCGTTACAGAATTCCACATCTGTTAGTTTACGATTCTTGGGGGAATCCCAGGAAAGCGAAAACACCGTCGCGATTACCTGTGCCCACCGAATATCGAATTAACCGGCACAGGCTACTGATGTTGCATTGCATTGTTGCCGGCATGAGAGCAAGTTTTCAGGGGGGGGCAGCTAAATTTCAGGGGGGGGCCGGGCCCTCTCTGCCCCCCCCCTGGCGTCGCCACTGCTGGTACGTTACTTTAAGTTTTATAGGCATTTTTATTTGCTTTTCCAGGCTTTCAATAACTCTATCAATAATCAAATAATGACTTTAATAATGTACGAAGCTATAAAGTTTCGATATTCTTCAATTAGCATCAATTTCTCGCTGCCATCAACACTAATTTAAGGATATATTAAATATTTAGGACAGCGCCATATTAGTGCTCAATAAATTTAAGTGTCCAATCAAAGTGAAAGGTCTAATCAACACTCGTAAATTCCACGTAAAGTGTTTTAGTATAAATTTTCGAAATAATTACATATTTCTGGTATATGAGTTTGAAAACTAATCCTATATTATCTGAAGCTTTTACTTAAATATTTTTTCTTAAGAAAAATACTCTTCCCCAGGAATCGGAAAATTTTGAAGGAAACCCTAAAAGAGTAAAACGCAAGGACGTTGATATCATTTCCCGTCAGCTGGAGCGTCACTTGATAAAATTTAATTTCGCACAATCAGGAAATGCTTTTAGATGGGTTTATTATTGTCATTAGGTATTTGCCTTTTTCTCTTTCCTATATTTATAAGTGCATATGGAAATGTTGCAAAGGAAGCAGTATATACTTTTAAGTACCTACCTCTTCAACCTTCAGAGTCAGAGGTTCATTTTTACACAAAAATCATATCTCCATGTTACGTAAGGCGATTGCTTATTTATTATTAATGGGTAACCCATCATCAATAACTAGCGTGGTCGTTAAATTTGCATTTGTCTGTGTTTGAAAGATAGATTTCCATATGTCCATATTATTGTGAAGATGCAATATTAATATATGGGTTAAAATCATAACTCAAAATACTGTAATCAATGTACTTTGTTCTCATATCAATGAAGAGTATATTTACCTTAAATTGGATTACCTTGTAGGTATACATGTAAATTGCGACTTCCTTCATTCAAGTTAATATTCCGTTGACGTTCTATCCTTAATTTTCAGTGTTAAGCATATAATTAAAACTTCAATTAAACCTATTTTTAAGTATGCAAAAATGTAACATGCCTTATTCCCGTGATTATTTGGCCGTATAAAGGCAACTATTGTTTAAAAACGTTATTGCTGACATTGCAGTAAACATTTCTCAAGATCCTCATGTCGTTTTTATGAAAATTTAAAACGCTGATTTATAAATTATTTATTGCGTAGGAGATTTTTGTCTTTGGACGTACCTAATGAAATTCAGATTTTTCAAGAAGCCTCATCTGATTAAGAACTAATTGGGTTTGGAATTTAAATAAAACTATTTATTCGCTGCGTAGAATATTCGAAGTGTGTAAAAATTCCACTTAATTTGACTGATCAAAATTCATTGCAAAAGTTTTAATAAAATCCAGTTTAAAAAGTGATGCATTTTTAGTAGGCGTTTTCGATAATATATGAACAATAAAGTTTATGAAATATCGATTTTACGATTGAAAAATTGCCAAAAGTCAAGCCAATAGAAATTAAACAAATTTTTATAAGTTTAACATCTGTGACAATGGAATTTACTGTGTAAATGCCTGAACAATAGTAAGGTAAATACTATAAAATAGTAGTGGAACAATCATATGAGACATCAAGGTTGTACCGGTGGATCGTAAAGTTTAATTTACCTACTAGCCTTCAAATATCAACAGGCAGTTTAAATACGAGGGACATCCTCATACTATTTACTGTTAACATCTTTATATCTCTTCACCGGTATGCAATTTATTGAACATGAAAAATTAAACATTAGCGGACTCCATTAATTTTCCCTCAACCATTTGAACCATTATTATCACGTCATCGAAACTAATAATAACGTCTAGCTTCTAGCAACTCTACTTAGATTTCATTTACGATTTTCTTTTTTGGCGCCACACGCATATACCAGCAACTATGACGTATTTCCCCGCAAATGATTTAATAATGAATCCAATTTTATTTTCTTCCAGACCGATAGTGAGGTGGCCTGCGAAGAAGCGGCCCGTCTAACAGCAGAACAACAAGAAGGAGATGAAGACGATTTGTCTTACTGCGACTACCACGACTTACCGCCACCCCCCGACGGCGGTTACGGGTGGGTGGTGGTATTCGCTTCCTTTATGTGCAACATGATTGTGGATGGTATCGCTTATACTTTCGGTGTTTTCCTGCGACCTATGACAGAGTATTATGGTGAAACTAAGGTAAGAATTGATTTTAAACAGTCACAGGATTTTTGAAAATAGCTGACTTAAAAGTAATGCTTGCTTGTTGCGAGGGACGCAAAAGTGCTGAATTTGCATAATCTAATGCATTATTACACATATAATATGCAAACGTTTTATTAAATTGAACAGAGCGTCGCAGTTTTTTATTGAATACAGGCAGAATGATTATCACTGATGAATAATTATGAAGATCTGTTCCAACACGTCAGAAAACCCATGGAAGGTTTTGAAACTACTCAATTTTTCGAATTTCGGATTCTACGCACAAATTTTAGGTTTTCCGCAGAATCGTGAACGTACATTGTACGGTTTCCTATTGTGTTGGGACAAAGCTATAGTTTAGTTCTTTTAATTAATAATCTCACAGGTTAAAGTCAATACAAAAAAGTTATTACATTGGAAGCTTGCACAGGAGTGGCCGATTTCCTCTGTTAAACTTCTCTATCAAATAAGTACATTGATATAAATCTCTCGTCGCCTTAAGGCCGCAACGGCCCCCCCTTCAAAATATATTTTAGTTCTAAAAAAAAAATTATAGATGGCGCCAAGATTAAAGCATTTTAAATATTCTAGCGATTTCAATTTGCAGAATCAGTGCAACTTTTTTCACTCAGTTCCTACTGATTGGCAAATGGGATTATGGAGGGATTTGTATTTCCATGCCTGGTATGACTTCAAATTTTGTTCTACTCTGTAAAATTGATGTTTTGTTGTAGAGCTTGTTTTTGTGGTATGTTTAGTTGTGGTAGGTATTTTCAGGAAGCAATTGGCACATGAATGGGCTTACAAATAGAGGAATACTCGGAGGAATAATAAAAAAATAGTCTTACCAGGAGTCTTACACAATTTCAGATATTTAGAGAATTATGGCACCTTCAAATAGTGACGGTCACTAATATAAACGTTCTTATTTTGACATTATTGACACCTACGCATGCGTATTTGTGACTAAAAATAGTGGCGGTCAGTAATAAAATAAGGATCATCCTTATTTGTGATTGGATAGTGAAAGGCAGTATTTATTCCACTATTTTTTGAGACATGCGTAAATGTCAGTTGTCCAAGAATTTTTCAGATTCTAACCTCACATAATCTGTTTATATTTTTTGTTTGTGTTTTGTGAATGGATAAAACCGAAAAACATCATTTGCACCCCCCATCAGAATGGCAGCTTCTAACATTTCTTCCATTACAATGGAGTAAACAATGCGACACTGACGCGAAAAAATTGTCAAAATAGTGGACATGTGGACATTTAAAATTTTGTGCCATAATTCTTTTAATTCATAAGAAATAGTGACCGTCAGTAATTAAATAAGGCCGATCAGTAATAAAATCGATCACTATTTGGGAAGTGCCATAATTCTCTTGGTAAAAGATGCAAGAGCTAGAAATGCAAATCGCCAGATACCTAAATGGAATGCTCTACTGCATTGGTGGATAATATTATTGCACTAATATGCAAGAACACAAAGGAAAAACTCTAATTTTAGCACTTTCCACCTTTTGTAAATAAATTTTAATAATTATTATTGAAGCTTTTTATTTTTTCAAAGACATTTTGTCCTATTGTCCTACAAAACACGATCCAATTTTTTTATGTATACCTAGGTACGTAAAATAGATACTTTATTTATTTTCAATGGAAACTAATGGAACAGCATGCTTTGTGTCTATTATTTTATAAACCAATAATAAAAAACAAAACAAATTTACACAAGGTGAGAAAGAGGTTCTGTTGTCAATAGGCTTTTTTGGAAACGCTGAACAACCTACATCAGCTGCAGCTCCAACGGTTCGGGGTTTTCGAAAATGCCTAATTATGACATCACTAATTGACTGGTGGCGCCATCTTCGAAAAAAGCCTGAACTATATGTGCCAAAATATCTGTAATTTTATTCCAAAATCGGTTTTAGACTACAAAAAAAAAACGGCACATCAGAATTTGCTGAAATTTGGCATAAACATTCTTTGATCGATTATCTAGAGAATAGTGCTCTTATTTTTTCAATTTTCACCGTGGATATTTCTATTTTTGCGAAATAGTTCATTTTCACAATATAGGCCAAAAAAAAATTCGAAATCTGGAAAATCTAACTGCACTATTCTCTAGATAATCGATCAAGGAATGTTTATGCCAAATTTCAGCAAATTCTGATGTGCGGTTTTTTTTTGTAGTCTAAATCCGATTTCTGTATTTTGTATCGTGTGCATGGGAGCGATGTTGCCCCCTTAATGCCACATACTGACGAATTTATTCATTTGTAAAACCTCCTCTAGGCTTTTTTTTGTACTTTTGTTCTATTATTTCTTTCTTTCCTTCTTTTTCAGTTTTCGCCCCACAGACTCCTGAATAAAGACCTCTTCCTTATCTTTTTACAGTTTACTATCCTGAACTTTTTGTATCCAGTTCTTTCCTGCGATTTTCTGGATATCGTCTCGCCATCTTTTCTGGGGTCTTTCAACATTTCCTTTTGTTTCTCTTGGGCGCCTTACTATCGATCTTTTGTCAATCTGTTATCCCTTTGTCATGCTATACGGCCAGTCTATCGCCATTCCAGCTGTGTTGTTCTTTGCACCATCCATTCCATCCATAGCAGTATCATTTGCATTCATTTCTAATCGTTTCTCTTCTGAATACCCTTGCCCATCTGAACTGCATCTAAAATGACCATCTCTACTGCTGTCATCATCCAGACTTCATATCCATAACATAAATTGATTGAATCATTGATTGTTCGACAAAAGGACGTCAGGAAAATTGAAAAATCTTTTCCCTCCTCCAAGGTACTGTTAGACTCTTTCCAAAGAGCCATAGAATATAGATCGTCTTCTTATGGAAGAATGCGTCTTGGAGTTTGCATTTCTCTTATGTGGGATTGAAACAAAAATCAAGTGTCTCATTCTCTTTTAAGTCAAATCTCCTTTGGATATCCATTGATGGAGCTTCTCTACTGGATTCTGTTATCGACGATCATCTCTCAAACATCGCCAAAAGGGCCATGATTGATTTAATCCTCAAAGACGTGTATTGTCTCTTTGCAAACCAATTTCACACTGATACAAATTTTAAAATCATGTTCGTTTAATGTCATAGGAGTTTTTCCTGTTTATTGTTCATATCTCACTCCAGTGTCTTTTTCGACCCGTCTGTGTATCAGGTCTGGTCTTGTTTTTTTGGTCTCCCCATGTAGGCCTATTTTACTTGCTTTCTGTTTTCTCAACCAATAAACTGCAAAAGAAAACTTGAGACCTAATGAGGAAATATGATAAATTGAACATGGAGAAAAAAATTAGGGTAACAAAAGGAAAAGAATGTGACAAGATATAAGTAAGGAAACTTCAATACATGAAGAGTGACGGCAATTATTGGAGAGAAATTAACGATTCTGGAAACGATTGTTTAAAAATCCATAGATTACCCAAATGGAAATCTTACAATAGACAACCAAGGATTAACTAATACTGTAGATAAATTTTATACAGAACTCTATTTTCTGGATTGACATAATTATTCCAAATGTAATCTAGTTTACTGAAGAATTACCCAATATCACCACTGGAGTAAGACTTCACTCAGATGTTAGGAGAAACATATATAGTAAGAATCAGCCAAGAAGAAGCTATTGACGTCATCACTGACGAAGAAGGCAAATTTCCTTTTCTCTAGGGCCCTTTCATTTGAAGTGAGACAAACGATAACGCTGGTGTAGTCTTCTTGGGTCTATGCCAATTCGTCTTACGCCAATTCGTCGTAGAGTCAATTCATCGTAAAGTCAATTCATCGTAAAGTCAATGCGTCGTAAAGTCAATTTGTCGTATACGTCGATTCGTCGTAAAGTCAATTCGTCGTTACGTCACTTCGTCATAGCGTTAATTTATCAGAACCCTAACCCACGTAAATTTTACGTGTGCTTTTTGTTTGATATGCTGCCATTTCCGAAATATGTAATCCAGTCCGCTCAAATCCCCAATATCAGTAGGACCAGGCATCGCCTCTGTTACATAAATGCCAGTCGTTTCACGTCTGCTAGATTCACGAAAGTACACTTCTGTACGTAAAATTTACGTACTTTCTTTCAACGAAATTTATTTATTTTATTTGTATTTCGCGATATTTTCGAGAAAATATGAACGTGCATTTGTTCCGAGTGTTGTTCATTCAAAAAGAATTAAAATTATTCCTCAAAATTTCCAAAATATAAGCTGCTGGAATTATTATTTTGTATTCTGTGTAAATGAAAGTTTTGAGGAGATTTTTTTTTCAATTCTACTTAAACATACTTAAATATATGTACATACCTAAAAACATACTCACACAATATATACAGACGGAACTAGCTATTGCCCCTTTTTGGGCTTTAGTCAAACCGCACCAGGGATGCCAAAAGCTTTTACTTTGACTGACTGTAAAAATTAACCATTAAGTGTTGGATCATTTAAGCCTTGTATTGGGTTAGGGGTTGCCTTGATTCTCATTTATACAAATAAAACGCTGAAATAGAATATTGATCAATTTAATTAATAAATGAAAGTAATTCGGTATAGTCAGCAATCAAATCCTATCTAAAAATTCCTAATTGGACGTCCAGTCGAACTGCAAATTTTATACTAATCTAAAGTAAGTTTTCTAAAGTAAAGTATCTTGATTTATAAAAAATAGAGAAATCTGATAATGATAATAATATCATTTATGGTTAAATGTTCAATGAACGAGAACACAAATTAACTAATTAAATGCACGAGAGCACAACATAAATAATTCGTCAACTTCAATCAGTTCACTGCAATCACAAAATGTTTATTGATCCTTGAAAGTTCTTTTATTTATTGAGAGTTAACAATTTGAATTTGAGCACTTTTCTGCTGAAGTCTGTAAACAATATGTGCAAGAAAAGTCTTTTTATATGCTCAGTTTCTATATACAAATGTACAAATGTTTCACGAGTGTGAAAACCAAATTTCTGCATTAAACGTTAGAAAACACTTCAATTTATACTGCATTTCAAGCGAATCACTAATCAGTATTTATTGTTCGACTGTTAGAGAAATTGTAACGGTCTTACTTGCTTAATCCGGTTCATGCAGATAAATCCACAAGGCGATTATTTATCCATTTATCACCACTATTCACACTGGCAGCTAGGGAATTTTCCACTGAGATGAAAAGAAAGAAAACACAATGATATACAGGTGCGTTGGAGCCCGTCAAGAGTGAGAGAGAGCCAAAAGACAATCACGTAGACTTGCAACAATTAGGGGTTTATTACATGAATTGTAATCAATAATATAGACCATGTCAGGCCTTGAGATACAGAGAGTAGTATTTTCCTATAAATCGCGCGTACTAACGGGGGTTTTTCCTCTGGAGATGATTCAGAGGGCGCGAGGGTGCGAACTCTTCTCTTATTCTAATAGTAATGAAGAATGTGCGTTGACTAGACTCTGCCAGGGGAGCAGGTCGCAAAGATCTAGAAAACAATGTAGCGGCTGACCAATCACAGCAGCGACAAAGGTCCACTGCCTTATAAGGTAATGAAACCTGTAATTTTACCGGTTCAAAGGGTTATTGTTGCCGGTTTTACAGGATAAATAGTCCAGCAATAGCATCTATTTTTAGAATATTATTTTTATGGTAAATGATAGAGATCGAGATATATTAAATTAGAAATAATAAAATTTAAACTTGTTGTGGGTTATTTCCGCAACACTAGTAAAACTTATGTTTCACACACACACCTAAAAACATGGAACACGTAAATTTCACGTAGGTTAGTATCTACGTGTGTTTTTAGAGGGTTAAAGTATTCTAGGGTAAGAATTGCAAACTATTAACACGTTGGCTACCACATGTGTCACCAGTGATGCATAAGATTCAGATGATTTTATACCGACAGGGATGTTTGAAAATTACCAAACTTACCAATAATAACCCGGTTAGTTTAGTTTAGTTTGCAGTTCTAATCTAATGCAAACTAACCTGGTTATTATCGGTAACTTTAAAAATATCTGATTAAAATTGCAAACTAATAACACGTTGGCTACTACATGAATCAGCAGTGATGCATAAGATTCAGTTGCGTTAATACCGACAGGGATGATTGATCCAATTTACCCCCAATACAAGCTACCTAGTCGACGTTACTTTACGACAAATTGACTTTACGACGAATTGACGTATACGTCAAATCAACGCTACAACGAATTGACTTTACGACGAATAGGCGTACGACGAATTGACCTAAGACATATTGATTTACGACAAATTGACGGTGACCCATTCTTTTTAGTTGGTTCGAACTCTGCCATTCTAAATCCATCCAATTGGCATCACCTGATGGGACAGGAATTAGGTATTAGAGATGGAAAACAAGGAGATACCAGACCGATTGCTTCTCTTTGCAGATGATATTGTTCTCATTATTGTCATACAAGAAATGTTGGCGAAAAAGAAAGTGAGATCGGCCCAACAAGAAATTTCTGATAACTTGGGAAAAACAATACTCATAGGAATATCAGTATTCGTTTGGATGGCGTGGTCGCAGAGAAATGTTGGAAATGGTGGAAAAAGATCAGATAACGGATGAAAGCAGATGAGAGCCCGAAGAGCTAAATTGAAAGTGAAGTGGGGTTGGATTGATCATCGCCCATTAAGATATTGAAGAACGCGATTGCAGGAAAGAAGAGTCGGAAAACTTTAAACACATTGACTGGATGATGTGAAGGAAAGGAAGGGAAGAGGACTTATAAGGTTTGTTCCAACACATCAGTTAATCGTACAATATACCGTCACGACTCTGTCTGGGCGTAGAATCCGAAATTCGTATATACAGAGGGATTCCTAAACAGTTCAAGGGACGGCGGTATTCGATGTGTTGGTTGGAACAGACCTTAAGTCTTCCTTCGAAAGTGGTTTTGATCATGGAGTAAGTGGTTCATAAAATGGTTAAAACACATGCTTCTTGCATCATCTTTCACTATAGTATATTCCATGAGTCGTTGGAATGTTATTTCAATTTGAAAGTATTGTCTTTTTTATATACTATACTTATTCTTTCTTCTAGGGTAAAACAGCATGGGTTGGCTCTCTACTCTCAGGAATGTACCTCAGCGCCGGACCACTAGTGAGCGCCCTAACAAACAAATTCGGATGTCGTGCAGTATGCATAGCTGGCAGTTTAATATCAACGGTAGCCTTCGTCTTGTCAATTTTTTGCACGTCCGTAAACTCGTTAATGTTAATATACGGTTTCTTCGGCGGTTTAGGTTTCGGCTTGATTTACTTGCCAGCGGTAGTATGTGTGGGCTACTATTTCGAAACAAAACGGTCGTTAGCTACCGGCATAGCGGTGTGCGGGTCTGGGGTTGGTACGTTTGCGTTCGCACCGCTAGCGGACATTTTGCTGCAAGAGTACGGATGGCGCGGCGCGAATTTGATTTTAGCCGGGTTTATATTGAATTGTGTCTTGTTCGGTGCGTTGATGCGTCCGTTGACGTATCCGAAAGAGTCCGGCGAGAAACCGCTGCTGCAACGGATGGCCGAAGAGAGGAGGATCCAGATGGAGCGCGGCAGCATTGCCGGTTCGTATTTCATGGTTCAGTTACCTGACGGAACGATGGAGAAGAGGATGAAACAACCGTTAAACATCGATCCAGGTTTGTAACTTCTGTTTTGAACAAGTTAAATATTCAGACAATTTTATTTAAAATGAGATTTTGTATCCACCAGAATCTCAGCTTTTTATTTTAATTTCATATTAACTTTTCCAACGATCCTCTTTGGAGCTTCTGATCATGCTATTGGCACTTCTTAGTCTTCCTCTTATACAGTGTACTCGCGCCTGTCTATAGGATTTTTACGCTATATTTAGGATGACGTCACATTTAGTAAATTTCTGCTGCCAACCTTACAAAACAAAAAAAAAGTATATTTCAACGCCTTTAAAGCATAGGGGAATTTCAGATGTTTTGTGTCGGCAACGGCGCGCGACGTTGCATGACTTGTATCATAAACAATTTTCATTTCGTTATTTTTGGCTATCATCAGAATTATTGACACATGACATTCTGGTAAATTATGGGCAAGTTTTTAAAATCATCAATGTGCATTTTCAGCGATGTATTGCTGTCCCTGTCATTTGAGAGCAGCAAAGCAAGGATAGGTTGCCATCAGGAGAAATGCGCAGCAATTGATTAATTTAAAAGCTTGCCCTATAAGAAAAAAAATAGGCATTGACAACATTGTATGTCCTTGTTCGATGACGTCATCCTAAATATAATATAAAAAACGTAAATTCTGTTTTTTATTTAAAGATAATTCCCCAAGCATGGGCGCCGGGAGTAGGGTGCAAGGGGGTGCACTTGCATTATTATTTTTTTTTTTAATAAGTTACTGTTTGGATCGGGTTATTTTATTTTTATTTCACGCGGCATCAACCTATAGAATGGCGAGAATTTCGAATTTACTTAATTTCTAGTTTATTGATATAAATTTTTTCGCAATTTCTACGATTTGATAACCCGAAAAAAGTAGATATTAAATTGCGAGAAGCCCTTGCCACTTTCAATTTAAAAAAAAAAAAGTGGAAAGAACAAGATTTGTGTACGGAAATTTAAATTAAGATAGTATAGTCAGCTAAGATGGTTGTTTGGTAGAAATCAAATCCCTTGACCCTTAACAATATTTTAAATTAATGGTGAGTGAGAAAATACCGAGGTCAAAACATCATATAACTTATCCAATCTCCTAGAAAAATTATTTTTTTGATTGTTCAAAATAACAGTTTTTGGGCGTGGCACCCGGGAAAATTTTCGCGCTTCCGGCGGGCATTTACCTTCTCAAATTATAATTTGAGCCAATATAACAATCCACGCACCGCCCTGCTTGTATGCACCTCCCTGAAACTAATCCTGGCGGCGCCCATGTCCCCAAGTCAAAAATTTAGTAACTATGTTGGCAGCACATAAGGTTCTTTGAGAAAGGTAGGTTGCCTGATAACTTTATGATATCATCTGTATGATACGTCATCAAGTTACCCATTACCAGGCAACCTATTAACTTTAGGAACCTTGCAGCACAAGACTTTTCTACATGAAAAATTTGAAGAATAGACCTATCTCCCATGATTAGAAAAAGGAAGCTTCATTGTAATAAATACAAGTTAGAAAACAATAAAAGATGACATGCGCGCGCAACTCGTAGGCTGCAGTGTAGCCAGATTGTATTGTTGCAGAACAAATGTAGACAATACAAATCGAACATTATAACATTAAAAAAGTAATATAGTCTCAAGTGTTTCACAACGCCTTGAATCAGACAAAAGGAGAGCTTTAAAGTGGATAAACATCGTTTGCACTTTCATTTTGATAAATGTTTCATCCGGCAACATCGCTCAATGAGATTGCAAAGGAATATGTCAAGTATAATCTAACATAACCTTAAACGAAACTGCGGTGAGTTCAAGTAATATGTAAAGTATTAGTTTGCTCTTTGTCAAATTACACGTTACAAAGAAAGAAGGAACGATTCATTCTGAACTGGCCCCTGAATAAGAATATGACGCAAGCCTGTCATAAACTTGCTTCTCATTGGACGCTCACCTGCAGCCTACAAGCGACGCGCGCAGTCCAGGTAATAGGAGATCGGTCTATTGACAATTTTACATTGTATTGCCAACATAATGTCATTTTGACTTTTAACTTTAAAAAAAACAGACTTTATATTTTGTTTTTTTGCTCAACATTTTTCGCACAATATTTTTTTATACAGGGTGTTCCCAAAACAGCTGTGCCGGTATTTGTATGGCATTTCCCGTGTATTATGACAGTTTTGAATTCGGAAAATTTTAGACATAAACCAATTTTCAGCGATTGACCGATCGGTCATCTTGACAGATAAACCATTAATTAGGCGTCATTTGTCAACCAATTGGTCTTAACCGACGTTAAATTCATTGCTTATCTGTCAAGATAACGGACTGGTCAATCGCTTAAAATTGGCTATACCTATGACATAGTGACTGGGTTCGGTAATTGCATCTGCGAGTAGAATGAGCCAAATTTGCAGTTGTCACGTGATTCGACAGGTGAAAAAAGATAAATGATCACGTGACGTCTGTCAAAATTTGCTCTTTTTGTTCGCAGATGCATTTACCGAACCCAGCCATAGTGTCAAATGATAGTTTATAGAAAAATAAGACAAGAATGATTGGTTTTGCTCTAAAATTAACTGTTCTAGGCTATGGTCCGAATATAATCCGACGTTGATGATAACCGGGAACTATTTTGACATTTGGTTAACCAGATTTCAGGACACCAAGGTCCAAAAGTAACCACTTTTCCAGGAACCAGAGTAATTTGATTACTTTCGGACTGCGAAACCACATTCCTGGTTATATTCGGACCACAGCCGAAAACCGAATTTTCGCGACGAATGTAGTTCATCTAAAGACGAACCATATAGTTCGTCTGTGACGTCATGAGTTTGAACGCTGACTAGAAGCTGCGTCCATGCTTTCTCGAACTATTTTTAATATGACGTCATGAGCTTCTCGCGAAAGCGTTTGTTTTCATGAAGTCATGGAAGTAGTTCGTCGCGAAAATTCGGTTTAAGTTTCACAACCTGTCAAATTTGCAAGAAAGTCAGTTTTCAACTGTCAATATTTCCGAAACCATTTGAAGATAGATTCTTGAATTTTAGATCACCCTGTATAAAAAAACTTTGTGCAAATAATGTTTAGCAGAAAAAAAATCTCATCGAATTTATTCCATTTGGCTGATACACACTGTATAACCGGTGATTGATATTGAATATTGGATTTTTTCGAAAATTTGCATATGCAAGTATTATAATTGCTCCTAATCTATCATTCTAAAATAATTTCAACGATGCGACGTTGCCACTCATACCAAAAAGTAATATAAAGTTTGATATTTTAAATGAGACACCTTGTATATTATTGCATTTTTCACTCCGCTAATTGCTTTCTGATTATTTAGGATAATACTGTCCTATACCTATCTCTAGTCATTTTCGTTTTATTAATTAATTTCTTTATTTTTTCTTCAAAACACAGCTGTAGTTAAATTTGTATTACTACGTCACTGAAATTCGTAGAAAGTTTCAATTTCGGAGATTAGGGAGGCATATTACTTTTGAGTAAGAAAATTTGTTCTACATACGGGGTTGGTCAAAATTAGTAATTGTGCTGCCAGGTACAAAAAAGTTTAAAAAATCACTATTTTAAATAGAGCAGCCTGTATATTATGAAATATTATAAAAGGCAATTAAAATCCCTTACAAATGATGCATCCTGTTCCTATACCTAGCCTAAATAGTAAGGGAAATACAAGCAAGTTTCTGTTAGAATTGGACTAATATTTTGAAATATTTGTCTAATGGCATTTCCGATTGGTAGATTCAATTTGTACTGAGAGTATTTCCATCTCTTTCTCTCAGCATGTCGAAGAAACAGATAGAAATAATTTTTTTTGCACTCATTCTACCAACCGGAAACGCCATTGAATAGCTATGAAATGTCATGATGAAACTTAAAGTCTGTTTTTTTTTTAAGATAAAAATCAAAATGACATTAGAGAGTTATTGGAACTATTAAATACTGCCTCGCAGTATTAAGAATCTACGTTATTTTATTAGTGCATCAGCACTATTTCTCCAAGAAAATAACAGTTATTGGAAGACTGTAGTCTGTAGTAGGTGTTAAGAATTACCTTATTTTTGTATTCATAATTTTGACAGCTTATAGCTATGTTTATAAATTTCAACCTCAAAAAGTGTTTATTTCTGTTTGTGAATTTCTGCTGATACCCATTTTTTGATGTTGCCTACAGTAAAATGAAAAACTATTGGAAGAAACAAATTCTCTAAGTAAAATTACGTCATCGTCGAAAAGCGAAACGTTAAAGTCGTCAAAAATGTCAGAAATATTGAAATAAGGGAAGTTTACTGCCTTGCACTAACCATACACAAATAAAGACAAGCAGTAACCTTATTAAGGGAATCCTTATTTTCAGACCCAAATGCGCATGCGTAGATGTCAAAATAGGGCTAATTTAAATACTGCTTGTCCTTATTGCACGTCCAATAACTCTCTACTATGTTGGCAATACGATGTAAAATTGTCAGTGCTTTCAAATTTTTTATGTAGAAAAAGCTTGTGTTGCCAACATAGTTACTAATTTTTTGACTTGGGGAATTATCTTAAAAAAAAACAGACTTTAGGTATTTTAAACCACGTGATTTTGTATAATGGCGGGTGATGACAAATACTGAAACCATATGGATATATGGTCATATCAAAAGGATTGAAATTGAAAACAAATGCATAGCATGGCCCACTTTCCACTGGGTCATACCCAAAAATATTATCATTGTTGTGTTTTTGTCTCTTTCCTACTCACAATGTTGTTGACAATTCAATCCAATGACATCACAAAAGTCTCACCATAGGTATCTATGGCAAGTCGGCCATCTTTTAGCATTTTACCAAGACTAATGAACTATAACCAAAAACTGGAATGCTAACACATAAGGACGAACGTGAAGCCTAGTGCGGCTGCTGCGGAGGGGATAACTGTTTTTGTCGCACTCATTATGTTAAATGGCGAAAATTGCTTCCAACACGTATTCCAATTGA